TACAAATTACTTTTGTAGATACTTTTGTACTCTCTGTTTTTATATATTTTTTAAATATTTAATATCATATATGCTAAATATAAATTAATCCGTTTCATTCTCTCTCATTGTTAGATCTACTTATATTCCATATTAAAGTTCTACTGTTTTGTATTATTTGTAGATGAATAAAATAACTATTTCGATTTACTATTGTGATTAAAAATGAAGAGTTAGCTGAACATCAAGCCGTTGTTTTATCCTAGTGTTAGAATGTAGTCTCATATCAAATGGATTTTCCAAATCATCTCGTTTTTATTTTTCATAACAAACACTTTTTTGCGAAATATTTCATCATTCGGTTGCACAATATTGGCTGTTAGATACTATCTTCATTTTTTGCTGTATTAATTCGAAAGCAAACATCCCTTATTGTATGAAAAAATATTACCTTCACTGCTATGCAGACTAGTAAGTTTTTTTACCACTTTCTCAGCTGGTTCTGAATTACGTCACGAATTACTACATTCCGAAATCCTGTTCCAGTACGGTGTTTCATAATTCCCATCGAGCAACACTGCTGTGTAGACGTATAAGATAGGAAGAATGACGTATGAGTTTTGTTTTGAAGGAACGAACTAAATTTTGTCTTCGTTATGGTTAATCTTTAATATTATTCGTCAATATAGACTGCACGAAATTATTATGGCAAGGTTACTTAGTCTTCACGAAATTATGGTAAGGCTACTAATTTCTCACTTTTTATTTTGATAATTATGATCTGAACGGCTAATTGTTTTCATTCAAGTAGTTCGGCTGTATGGGAACAATGAAAGTATTTATGGTTGTCATAAGTTATTGATCGAAAATCGATAGTATATTTTGCATTTGAATTTCAAAAGTTATATGTTTTATGTTCTTTTAGATATGGACAGCATTGTTAGGCTTATTTGCTATGCCTGACAGTGTCCGTTTTCCGTGTATTGAAATTGAAAGTACTTTCTCATTGAACAGTTCTGTCTTATGTATGCGTTTTTTTATGTTTTGGGAAGTACCTTTTCTGCGCTATTTATTTAAATTAGAAATGACTTTTGATGACTTAAATATTGCATAATAATTCGTATGTTGGAACTAGCTTTTGTTTTGGGGAAATAATATTTCGTAGATACATTTTGACGTCCTTATAGTCACATGAAACTTTTTTCCCTTTGTTTTCCAAATGAAAGTTTTGTAGCATTGTATAAATTAATGTAATCAGATCATTGTCATCTAATATTTTAAATCTGAAACTCAACAATGTTGTTTATATTATTGCATTATTTAGTTGTTGCATTAATTACTGTGATGCATAATTAAAAGGTTTTTTCATTTGTTTCATGTAAGGTCACGTGGGGTAATTCCCAGCTACTGAATTTCCTAGGTTGCTTCCAGTCATTCTTGTAATTAAAATAATCAAAAATCAATCTTTTTCAAAATTAAAAAAAAATCATAAAAATAATAAACCGTCGTACATTGAACCCTTTACAATATATGATTGAGTTGAAATTTAGTTTAAAATTGTGAGGAAAACAAATATTAAACCTGCTAGTTAAATTTCTGCAAAACATTGGTTTTTACTTTTACAGTTTATTTGGGTCAATCAGTGACCAAGTGGTTTAGATCCCTGAATATTGGTAGTGCAAACCCACTTTGAACAGTTTGGCTGCATAGTTGGTTTTCATAGATTTTCCAGTGTTTAATTTTTTCATGGATTTTGAGCTAATTTTCTGAAAAAGCTCACTGCCCTTAAAGGTGTTCCTTTCCATAGGCAGATAGCTTTTGTATGCTTTTCCATGTTAAGATAAATTAATCTGTTTTGGTAAGTGGTGTTTTACAGTATCCATGATTTACACTTTAGCTATCAGACATCATCTAGAAATTGCTGTCAAATAACTTTTTAAAACTATTTACTGTGCAGAATAATCTTTTTAAATATGACTGTGATATGGAATCTATGCTTAAATGTTTGATTTTTAAAGATCAAGGTTTGTCCAGTTAAATATGAGTTCCATCTTTAATCCAAACTTTATGGGTGTAATACTTAGCAAATACTTAAAATAGCGACACTGGTGACTTAGTCTCTTACAGTGACTTTCTTAGTCACTTACACTGATTTTAAGTGACTATAAAACACTGGTGACCTATCAAAACAAATTTCGGTTAATCTTCGGATTAAGGTAACATGATCAGCACGAAATAGAAATACGGCAAATTTGGCGAACGTTTGGCGACGAACAATTTGTAAACAAATCCGAACTGCAGAGCGCCGTAAAATATTGTCAACTCTGAAATTTCCATGATTATATATTTAATCAATATATAAACATTGGTTAATCTTTGGATTATGGTAACTTGGCGATTTTTTGGCGAGCACTGCTACAGCAACCTGCTAGTTTTTTTTGGACGCCATTTTGTTTTCACGAAGTAAAGGCTTTTTTTTTACTCAAAATTTTTTTCCAACAATCTGCTAGTCGAATTACGCTTATGCTAGAACTTTTATGGAACAAAAGGGCTTAATCATGATGAAGATTAAGTGCGAAATTGGGAGAAAGTGCAGAATCGCCACTGATTGCCGCGTTTTTAAGAATTGCACGTACACGGTATTCATGTGCACGTCGACCTATTTTCACTTAAAAAAAAATCCCAGAATTGCACACTCTTGACTTTATCCATGTACACTGTTAAAGTCCTAGCTAGTAACCTTTATCGCCTTACCAAAATGTCGCCAAACTACCTGTGGTACTTACGTATTATTGCAACCAGGTTGGCGCGATTTGTAAGTTTGAGTAAAAAAGTATGAATAGAAAGAAAATGTACATTTATTAATTACAGATAATTTTTAATACAGTTTTTTTATATTATTTTTGTTTTAAAAATATAAAATAGCAATTAAACCCTTCCAGTTTCGAATTTGAATAAGTTGCAGAATTATTTTTTCGGCGGAAATCTTTTGGCTATTGCTTTTAGCACTGATTGAAAACCGTCTTTGCCATTAACAGCTTGAGGCCATATAAATTCGATAAGGTATGAGTCAAGATGATGACGGGCTGTTCCTCTCTGTTTTTTGTTGCGCCATTTGGCTGAGCCCCACATGTGCTCTACATGTTGTGTGTGAATGCCCGTGTTGGGATCCACAAAGTTATATTTGTGATAAACAGTTCCGTACAGAAATCCAGCATTTTCAAACTCACTTGTATTCGAACTCATTGTATTTACGAAAAACTATGTATAACACGTAGGGTTGTCGTAAGTAGGGTCACCAAATTTGGTGATTTATGCAAATTTTGCCCTGGTTACGTTAATACGTAAGTACCCTACCTGTTACCATATTCCAAAGATTAGCCCAAATTTCTTTCCATTGTTTTGTAGCATTAAAAATAAATTGATAATACATTACGTAAATTTTTATTTCTACCGAAAAGTTAATTTATCTACTGTTTACCACATATTGTAAAACTAAAAAGAGGCAGTATAATTTATTTTCATGGAGTTAACTTATTTCCATCAAAAAAGATATTTTCTTTGGAATTGGTCAAACATTCAAATTGTCTGTTTGCCAGAATTGCCTGCAGTATCATTATTCAGGCATCTCTTCGTTTATATGTGCTTTCTGAAATGTTGAACTTCTCGAAATTCTGGATTCCCTAAGCAGTAGGGAGTAGCAGCTGTTGGTTAGTCCACGGGTTACTCCCCTTTTATCTCGTGCTATAATGTGACCAGGTTGCATCTTAGATCACCTGCATGACGTTTTGCAACATATTCCCCAAAATTTGTCTGTTTATGCAGCCAAATCTTCATGTTGTTGCATTTGTCGGGCAGTGTATACATGCAGTGGGTAATCAGTTAAACAAAATCTATTACAAGACTATGTTCGCTATCCAAATTGTTCGTTAACTGATCATCGATTTAGTATAGAATTTTTTTTTGTGAAATCAAATTCATTCTGGAGACCGTAAAAATTAAATTAAAAAAAGGATGTATAATTTCTTAGTAAGTTTATTAAAAAAATACACATATCTAATCTTGCATATTAATCAGTCCTTTTCATTTTTTGTTTATGGGAGGCGTTAAAAAACATGTCCAATGTCGATTGCTTTTCTCTCTTTTACAGAATTTTCCAGAAGTGATTAATAACATTGTTATTGTAAAGATCCGCAAGCCTGCTTACATCTGCGTGGTTTGGGTGCTATTCTAAAACATCCTCCCACTTCTTCAAAAGATATTTTAATGGAAGATGTTGGCATTGGTCCTTTTCATCTTCCTCTTGTTTAGAAGGAGAAACATTTTGCTGTGTTTCTTGGTGTTCTTCATTCAAGATTTCTTGGAGGTCTGTCATCAGTTCATCCTTGAGCTCTTCAATGTCATCTTAGTTCACCTGCAACGAGGGGAAGGGATGTGCTCAAAATGAAATCAATTTTGGTTTTGAATGAAATCAAAACTGAAACTGATGATCTACTTTTAGACTATAAATATTCTATAGGAAAAAAAAAAAAGAATTTTTTTCCAATATAGAACTTTTAAGTTTAATAGGCAAGCAACATATTCAAGAGAGATGAAAAAAGATTTTTAGTCCGTTGGTTTTGGCAACTCTGCACATTATGCTCTGAGAGCCGAGAAGTGTTCTTTAGAATTTGTTTTAATTCGTCATCCGAATATGTGTTCATTATCCGAACGCAAAAATCTTTTGTGAAAATGTTCATTGTCTGAGCTGTTCTTTAACCGATCACCAACTGTATTAAATATTGTAGTGTTACAGGAAATTACACTGCAGTAGTCAACAACTTTTATTTATATTAAAGGTTTAGGTTTACAGAACATATTATTTGTGTAACTTTTAAGGGTTATCTTATTTTGTGTAACTGATATCAGTTGCTGTATGTTGTTTAAGAAACATTATTTCTAAATGGTAGATTTCTTTTTAATAACAAGGTCATTTTCTTTTTAATAACAAGGTAGTAATTTTTTTTGTTCCCAATTTGTAGGCTTCTAAAGCAATGGAAAAAGAAGACGTTGCAAAAGCATCGAGCAGCTTTGAGACTGCTCCAGCATGGCTGATACAACATCTTAAAAAAGTATGTTAATTTTATAAAATTTACTGTAGTATTTAAAAGAATGGTTAAGAAACTTGCTTGTTACAAATTGTCATTTCCATTTTTGATAATTATGTGCAGTGACTGCATTAACATGGAAGTAAAAAATTACATTTGTTGTAAATGTTTTGTTCACTTCACTTGAAAAATTCTTTATTGATATATATAATAAACAGTATTTGCCCTCTTCTTTTTATTCTAGAATAGTAGTTAAAATATTGATCTGAAAAAAAAAAAAAAAAAAAAAATTGTATCAGTTTAAGTATATTGTCATCACTTAAAAATGTACTGCTATCAATATTGTACTATTATTAAATGGTGGAGAGAATCCAGATCTTTGCATTTTATTAAGATGGATTCAGAGCTTTAAATTTAAGATGTAGAAAACGATTTGAACTCATTATAAGCAAAAATTCAGCATTAAATAAAATTATTTCACATATTTTGTAAAATAATGCAATATTTTAAGGACTGAAATTGGTATTTTCAAAATTAATTTGAAGTGTAATAATTTTTTACGGTGGAATACAACTAAATTTTGCAAGAGCTAGAATGTTAGAAACTTCTTAAAAGTGAAGATTTTTTGAGAGGAAAAGCTTATTAACTGCAATAGCATAGTTAGTAAACAACTTAAAACTATCAAGAATATTAAAAGAGACAACTTTGAAATTTTTAGACTGGTTTATAGTATCTGAGGAAGTTGTCAGAATGTTTAAAATGATTTATCTGCTAACAATTGTTTAGCACTGAAAATATCTTAAGCAAAATTATTTATGGTACTTTTCCGTTTTGCCGGCGCAAGCGATGAAGTCGCCAATAATGGTACAACCGATGCCAAACGGAATATTCTCGCTGGTAACCTTTTACGCCTCATTCAGATAGTTCAGTTTTATGTCTAAGGCCATTTTCGGCAATTAAATCAATTAGGATGCAATCACAACACCACACAGCGCTTACCCGAAGCCGAAAATATAGAAAAGGTAAAGTCAAGGGTTAAATTCATCAATTCTAATGAGAATGCATTAGCGAAGTAAAGCACTGCAGTTTTTACATAATTTCTGAGTAAGTTATTCGTACGAATTGAAGTATTTCTTGCATTTAAACTTGTATTCCAAGTTAAGATTTAACTTGAAATTAATGTAGATAATTACTGAGAGCATTATATTTTTTGTAGAGTAGTATACGTGAGAAGAGATCGCTTGGGGTCACGTGATATGAACCGCGAAACAGGATGTTGAAACCATGAAAGCATAGTAAATTCTTAAATTAATGTCTTTTTATAAATTTATTGTCTTTATTTATTGGCTTTTTATAAAATTTTAAGCGATATTAAAATGTTTATGCCTTCAAAAAAAGAATTCTTAGGACTAACATTTTTTAAATATTTTTTGTGTGTATAATGTATGTTGTCGCCAATAAAGTCTGCTTGGCGAGATTTGCACCGGCGAAACGGAAAAGTACCTTATTTATTGACCTTGTACTTTTGATTGACAGTGGTATTTCCAATTTTTTGCAGTTTGGAATTATAGCTCCGATGGGAAAGGGATACTTCCTAATTAAAGCAGTCACTCTGTAAAACTTTGGCAACATTTGAAATTTGCACATGACATGGTGGATGATTTGTTTTCCCATTTAAGCATAGTGTCTGCTTTTAAAGAGGAAATACCTCGGAACTATTCTTTATTTCCAAGTTAATATTCCTGGCTAAAAATATAGTTACGGGTGCCTCTTGGTGATTTTTGGCAGTATATAGATATCGAGTTTGTGCAGTTCTTTGACTTATTATTTTGGCTGCTACACAAAGACAAAATAAAGTCAAAGAATCAAATGAGGTATCCATGTACACATCGACCTATTTTCACTTAAAAAAATCAGAGAATTGCACAAACTTGTGCACTCCTTTGACTTTATCCATGAACACATCAACCGATGTTCACTTAAAAAAACATCAGAGAATTGCACAAACTTGCCATTGCCCACTCAATTGTCCAGGTACACATCGATCTATTTTAACTTAAAAAGTCAAAAGTAGCACCCAATTCTACAGTAGAGCCAAACAAAAAATGCATAATCTCAATAAACTACATTTTAAATCAAACAATAAATTAAAAAAAAAAAAAAAAAAAAAAATATTCTCCTTAAGCACTACAAAAAGCAAATATCCACTTACCTTATTTAGAAATTTCTGAGTCCTTCAGTCTGTGGCACACAAAATTCCTTAACAGCATCCCCAAACTTCCTAAAATGATCTGAACTAGAATCCGTATATCGGTGTCGGCGCATAAATTCACAAAAATAAGAGGGGGAAAAAATCTGAAAGGTTTCAGATTTTAAATTGCATCCAAAGGGGCGTTTTTTTAACGTTTTGTATGTTATTTTTATTTATTAAATATTGTGTTCTTTGCACTTAATCCATAAAATTCAGTTCAACAGCAATGTTGCAAAATAATTTTAAAATGAGCATATCTTTAGAATTTTTTGATACATAGTTCCGCACGCTGGAGATAAAAAGCCTCCTCCCCCTGTAGAGTGTTGCCATTGCTCGCTTTTAAATCATTGAGTTTGTTAATAAAAAATTCGCTAAAGTTTTACAAAATATGAAATTGATAATAAAACAAATTTCAAATTTGGGCTTTCAGATGCCCATATTCACAGTAGGATTACGTCATTCAAAATTGGATGGCTTTAGGTACCGTTGTTTTATCATATTGTGCAAAACATACATACATTTATGAAGATTCTTTATTATTAAATTTCTTCAAATATAATACAGGACGATAGTATTTGGTGGCAATGATGTGAAAAGTGATACGTATGGAGTTCCGATGCAAAATCGCAAATCAAAAACAACAGTCCTTCAGAGACATAGACCCTTTGGATGAAAAATATCCTCCGTAGTGCCGGTATCTTCCAACGTTATAATAGGGTTTCTGTAATATTCATCTACTCGGGTTACAATAAATGAAACAACAACTTCGCGATAATACAAGGAGCACCCTTCAGTCTACTCTAATCTATTCCTGTCAGCTTTTTTATATAGAAAATAAGACTATTTTTGCTATCTATTGAGCAAAATGAGATTTAAAAAAGTTAATTTGTGCAATAAACACTTGTCAAACTTGAGGGTTATGTCATTACATTGCGTGCATGGCAAAGTTCTGTTTTGCAAAATTGACTTTTTATGGGAAAAATGTTAGGCATAATTCAGATAGTGCAATAATCTATAATATGTATAATTAAACAAACCTAAATATCATTGTAATAATAATGATAATAAAAGTTACTTTAAAGAATTATTACTAAGTATGTGATAAAATTATTTGTTTTTTAAAGCCAATTATTTTTGCTTTGCACAGTGACTAATGGCAATTCTTTAAAAAAAATTGAGGTAAGGAGTGCAGTGTTTCAGTCCCTCTCAGAAAGTGTCCTTTGCTTTTTTCATTTGATTTAATCTTTTGCAGAATTGGAGTTCCTGGGCCTTTTCTAAAATTCGTTTAACTTGCAATTTAAAGGCATTTTATCTTCTTGATTATCACTACTTTTACTGTGTGTTGGTGTTATGATCATCCAGTTCTTCTGGCATCATTTCTCTGTTTATTCTTTGACTTCTTTTGGCTATTCTTTGGAATATGGTAACAGGAAGTTTGGCGACATTTTGGTAAGGCGATAAAGGTTACTAGCTAGGACTTTAGCAGTGTACATGGATAAAGTCGAGTTTGCGCAATGCCATTTTTGTGCAATTCTGGGATGTTTTTTTAAGTAAAAATAAGTCGACGTGTACATGGCTACTGTGTATGTGCAATTCTTAAAAACGTGGCAAGCAGTTTGTGATTCTGCACTTTCTCCCAATTTCGCACCTAATCCTCGTCATGATTAAGCACTTTTGTTCCATAAAAGTTCTAGCATAAGTATAATTCGGCTAGCAGATTGTTGGGAAAAAATGTTGAGTAAAGAAAACAAAAAAAACCATGCCTTTACTTTGTGAAAACAAAATGGCGTCCAAACAAAAACTAGCAGGTTGCTGTAGCAGGGTTGGTTGCCAAATTTTCGCCAAAAAATCGCCAAGTTACCATAATCCAGAGATTAACCCTTCTTTTCCCACAATAAATGAAATTTCAGCAGGGACAGATTAAAAGGAAACAAAATTCTGCATATGCTTGTAATAGTGTTCCGCAAATCCGAGTTCAGCAAGCGTGTATGGAAGTTTTTATCATTACCTAAAGAGGGGAAAAAGGATGCATAAATATTGATACAGGATAGGTAAATACTGTTGTGCATGTGGTTTCTGTGAAAATTAAAGTATAAAGAGTCGGCAGTTACTTTTCTAGCTGAGGAGAGTGTCATAGTTCTTGAGGAGACCACAATAAATGATTTATAGTACCTTAATTATGAAACCTTAGTGATTAGTGTAATTTTTGCCATGAGTTGAACACTAGACATTGCCATACTAATAAATATTTGATTTAAAGGAGAAGAAAAGGAAAAGTAAGTTTGCTACTACTCTCCTGTAGCACTGTTGGTGACAAAAAATGGCATTGGCGCAATTCGGGCATAAGAAAGTGTGATTTGTTGTTAAATGTTATTAACATTCATGAAAACTAAATTGACCATGGTACACGGTAAATTGCCAATGCATTCAATATCTGTGAAACACAAGTTATTTAGTATATAAATATAGAAGAAATTTGATATAAATTTTTATTTATTAGAGTATTTAATATAATGCTGTCTGCAATTTATTTGAAATAACCTAATTCAATAGAACTTATTTAATATCTACATTATTATATTTAGTATAATTACGTAAGCACTTTATTTAGGAGTTTATTAAAAATATATACATATAACCATACTGGAAAATTAATTTTTTACTGACTCTAGTAGCTATAGTTTAGCTCTTGTTGCTAAAAATGCCTCAAACATCAACAATAACTTTTTTTTTAGTGATGGTAGATTGAAAATAGTGAGCATAATAATTATACAAGTGCGATTACAAAAAACCAGCTGCGTCGTTAACAGTTTCTTACATGTGTGCAGATCGGCAACCATTTGTTTTTCGCTAGTGCAGAAATGTGGCAAATCCACTCTCTTGCCAGACCTGTTATAGAAGATGAGTGCTGTAAGTTTACTAGTCTGATTGGTGTAGAACCTTAGATCGGAGGTCCATGCGACTGCGTATCAGTCAAATTAAGGAATTTTGTTAACTGTTGTGTTATACTTATGGTAGCTGCAGGGCCGGCACTAGACATTTTGCCATCTGGTGCAAACTACATGACTTCAAAATTCTGTTGTCCACTTTTTTCTTAAATTTGAAACATTTGCTGCTCCTAGATTCTGCCACTCAATGTGTGGCTGCAACAGTTGTACAAGCGATAACGCCACTCTTGGGTAGCTGTGAAGTTTCTTCCTAAGAAATATTCATAGTTGTTCATGCAAATGTATTTAAACTGAGGGCAAGTTAAGAGACCCTGTGCCAAAAACAACCAAGAAATAATCAGGTTAATTGTGGAATGCTAGGAAAATTATAATTATTAAAGATCAGTGTAAAACAAAACTGTCTACTGAAAATACAAAAAGGGAAAGAAAATTTCATAGGATTATGGCATTGATAGCAGATGAGGCGATATTTGAGAATTGTTTTTATCCACAAGAATGTATAATTTTATTGTACTTAATCAAGAAGATATAAACATTGTACAGTAAAAAAAAAAACAAAAAGCTCCGACTGACTATTATATTTGCATTTGAATGAAATTTAATTTCTCTTGTGAATATTTGTTTTTCGTCCCGAGTTTCCTCGAGATAAAAAACTTATACTGAGTTATTTAAAATATATAACATATGATTACCCTGAGCAAAGGAGGTTCGCAGCAAAGGATGTTTTCCTTCCCCTATCAAAGCGACCACTAGCAATTAGTGCTACAAAAGAAGTAATCACAGGAATTTTTCCCTTCAGGGGGTTCTCTTGAAGAACAAAGCTGCCTACCTCTTTTTCGAAGAATGTTGTGCATATAAACTAAAAAAGGACTATCTTTTAATTTCATCACATTTGTACCAGCCACAGTGGCAAATGCGATACTTTAAATATTAATTGGGTGTCAGCGTCGCAGGGTAAGTGGTTTAACACAATAGGCTTCCTATTTTGTAGAGAAGGTGAATGCAGTGTCAGGCATGGGAATTTTAGAACTGGACTACTGAATTTTTAAGACTTTTTTTTTTTTTTCTTACTATTGCAGAATGAAATATATTTCATTGAGCTACCATTTAAGAGGTCAGTGCCATTTGTAGCTTTTTTGTCTCATTTCTGGGCCCACCAGCGGCCGAGCGATAACGTCGCTGAACACTGGTAGTTCGGTCCGAGGTTCGAATCCCGCGAACGGGCTGGCTGCATGGGTGTTTTCCTGGTTTTCCCCATGTGTAACGTGTATACGAGCCAGTTTCCCTTAGAAAGACCTCCACGAAGCCATCCCTCCCCTTAGGCACATAGCCCTAGTGTGCTTTGCCATAATTAAATAAACTGAAACTTTTCCTCATTTATGATGATGTTTATTTTTTCTTGATTGACAGTATGGTTTTTGTTTTGAATACTAATTTAATTAACTAAATCAACTTATTCTGCAGTTTAAACTGCTTGAAAATAAAAAGTAAAATTGTTAATAGTTTTTTTTCTGTTAATCAAAATGTAGATTATTTATCTTTTCTGTGTTTTAAACTGTTCTTTTATTAACTGACTTCAAGTTAATTGTGTACGCTATCTCTGATATTATCTTAGCAAATCAGGAGTTGGCTGTATTAAACCTAGTTTATTTGGTATCAGGTATTAAATATGCTAAAATTTATTACTTTTGTTATGGGAAATATTTCCTTATATGGCTATAGTATAATTATTTTGATAGTGCTATTAAATTGTTACTTGTGTAATGGCGGTTATTTGAATGTTTTTAGTGATCTGTAAAATTAATTAGTAAATGAAATATTTAATTTTTTAAAATCCCCAGCAGGAGCTGAGTGGTAAAATCACTGAACATAGCAGGTTTAAATCCTGCCAAAGGAGCTGGTCGCATGGGTATAGTTATTGCCATGTGTAATGTGAATATGAGTCAGTTTCCCTCAAAATATCTTTGATTGTTTGTCATTATTCATTATTTATACTGAGCAGTTTCCTGTGAACTTTTAACATTGTGTTTTTCTGATTCCATGAAGTTGCTTTTGCTATAAATAAATAAATAGCTTCCATTAAGCAGAGGCTGGCAGGCCTTGTCAATTTGCCAGGTTAGTTATTTGAATTTATTGGCAGTTCTTCTGATATGCAATGTAATTTTTTTTTCAACAGCTAAAATCTTGTAAATTTTAAATCTGGAAATGATTTCTTTTGTAGTTTAAAAAAATTCAATGCCATTTTATCTGATGGCTGAGTGTTTAAATATTTGCTTTATGATCGTACTCCAACATCTTTTAATTTTAATATTATATTTGTGATATAAGTATTTTGTTTATGTTAACAATATATTGTTGAAATACGTCTGCTAGATGAAAGAAGAGATAAAAAAAGAAGTGATGGAAGAACTTCTTGCCCAAGGGGAATTTCAGATACCCAGAGGAGTTATAGCAGCAAGGCTGGATAAAAATCATTCATGTTTTAGAGGTTTGTTTAAAGAAAATTATATTTTTTTTTAATTTTAAAAATTGTTATTAAATCAAATTAGATAGAAAGTTACAACTTTTTGAAAATTTCATGTTAAACAATTAAATTAAAAATATTAATTTTTAAAAATGTTATTTGTAGATTTCTTAATTAATAAGTTAAAATATAAATTTTTGTGAAACAATCAATTTTATGTCATGTATCTCTGTGGTATGTATGCTCCTCTTTTTATATTTTGATGAGTTAAAGTTTTATATATATCCTATCAAGAATTAGTGAATGTAAGATGGTAGTAACCATCAGAATAGGAGTACATTCTGATTATCCACACACCCACAAAAACTTCACCAGTGAGTCACCAATCTGTTGGCAACTTTTCTAAAATGCAGAAAAATATTTGATATTATGGCCATGGTACCATGGCTCATAGGTACTTTTATTTTCATTTGTTATAATAAAAAGCATTTTGGGAGACCTATGATTTATTATAACAAATGGGAAAAACATCCTTATGGGATGGCATTGATCAGCGAAATAATGATTAACTTTAAAGCATGTACTCAAAACACGTGGTATATCCATACATGGTCTGGTCATTGGTCTGTGTGTGTATATACTTGAAAATATACCAGAAACATGGAAATTCTATCAGTTTTGGAAACCAGGTATGTAGGTAATCAGAAAGTACAAAAAAGTTTCAAGATTAAATTTACAATTTAATTTTATAGATCATTATTATTTAACCATATTTATGTTTTGATTGAATATGATAGTGTTAAAATTTCAAATGTTATTAAAAACATTCTGAAATTTTTTCCCAAGTATTGCTAGATATTTTAGATTATTAAAATAAATGTTTATTAATTTAATACTTTTAGTTAATAAAAATTCATTGAAGAACTTTTATTGTAGGAGATGTGGTCCATGAAGATATATTCTGTGACAATTGTGATCAACTGATTCATGGCATACGTTACAAGTGTGGGTAAGTATTTTTTTTAAACATTCATTATAAAATTTTATTTATCTTCAGTGATGTTTTTATCAATAAAATTACAGATAATAATTGGCAATTTCGATCATATTTCACATTAATGTCTTGCTAGTTTTTAGTTTCTTTATTAAAAAATAAAAGCTGACATAGCAAGTTGTTATAAAAGTGTCTTGTCATGTACTAAATATTTTATTTTTGGTAAAAAAAGGGCTCAGTATATCATTTACATTATAGTCTTCGAATATGGTCCGAAGTTTGAACTTTCTATAAAAATTCTGTTAGCAACAAAATCATAAAAAAAAAAAAAAAAAAAAAAAAAAAAAAAGATTTTTGTGAATGTTTCAGCCTGTTAATTTTTTATCGGGCTGATAATTTTATTGAAGAATCAGGGGCAGTCTTCTGGCAAATTTTTTTCATTTGTGATTATTCTCAAATTTGAAACGACAGTTACAAAGCTAGCCTGCTGTTGCCAGAAAGTAGTTTTTCCCTGCCAGTGGTAGGAACTCGGGTTACCGAAAAGTCCTGAGGATTTTTGATGGTAAATACAAAAGAAGAAAATTTCGTTGAATCGCGTAAGCACTATTATGTTCTGTGAACTTTTTGCCGATTATCCGGCAAAAATTCTCCGGGTCTTTTTAAAAATGTCATTAGGTTTATTCTTGAAGAAGTTATCAATGTGCTGTTTTGCAATATCCAAACAAGTGAATTAAGGCCATTCAGAGAATTTTGAAATGACCGGAAGAGATGAAAATCTGAGTGGGCAAGGTCTGATGAAAAGGGTGAGTGATACAAAATATCCCAGCCTTTTTGAAGAAGTCTTTGTTTGATATTCATCGAAATAAAGAGTCAAACATTGTCATAATGGACGACAACACTGTTCAGGCACTTAACTTAAATTTCTATTTTTAAAATTGTCGTTTTAAACCATATTTTTCCAAATTTATAATTTGATTTGTTGATCTTCCATAATCGGGTGCAAAACTTGGCGAGAGATTTTAATGTGGCGCGAGTTTGATTTAGTTGTGGTTTCCTGCTGTATGTTTTCCTGTGGCAAACCTAGAGCTTTATTTAGGTGATTACTGAGTGCGTGTTTAGTGTAGCCAGAAGATTTTTTTTTTTTAGTCTAAAGGGGATTTGTCCCTGAGGGACAGGACTATTGTTTTCATTTTGTGTCTAATCACACTGAATGTCCATTTCACTTTTCAAACTGTTGTCACCAAATATTATCACCTTCGTTATTTGAAGAAATTAAATAGTGAAGAATCTGCATAAATGTATGGTGTTTCTTGCATTGTGTTGAAACAACGGTACCTCAAATTTTGAATAACGTTGTTATGTCTTGGAGCAAAAGCAATTTTACTTTACACCTGACTGCCTCCGACATAGCAATGTGAATACTCTACATATAAAATTTTAAAACACCATTCCAGAATTATAGATGTTTATTTAATAGAATCCTATTCATATATTTGCAAGTTATACACTATAAACATAATAAACAAAATTTGAACTTATCTGCACCAGCGTGAATAAGCCTGGCATGATATTCTGAACTCGACGCAACTTTAGCAGGAAAAATACCGCAAATTCAAACACAAGGTTTCATCCTTTCCAACGCAGCTAATTTTCTAAATATATTTTACCAATATCCTCAGCAGGACAGCGGATTCATTTCATTCACCCAAAACTCAAATGTTTTAACGCAATAATATTGCAAAGGAAACATCGACTCAAAATGAAAATATTAAAATCTATAGAATATCATCCGCTGTTGCCATTCCAGCACTGCCAAGTTTTTCTTCCTGCAGCTGTTGCCAGACTTATCCTCGCTGTATGATGAGAGGTACAACATCCTCCCACCCTGATTTTCTCAAAATCAGATATTGCAAAAAATTTTCTAACATTACGAATAAAACAAAACAGTACTATGTATTAGTTTAGAAAGCACATAAAAGAAACTCGGTTAACATACAATATATATGACAGATCATACTAAAATGAGATCAATAAAGAATAAACTTCTAATTAAAGTCATTGCTAAAGAAAAGAGAATGTAAGTCCAAAACGTCTATATTGTACATTATGTCTAAGAGCATGTCCTTGGTTTTAAGAGTCTACTGTATCTAGATCTGTTTTGTCAGTTGCCAGAGTTAGCACAGGATCACTGGTAGTTGAAACTTCTAGTGGATACAGTTTTTTTTGATTGGTCTTACCAAATATCCACTGCTTGTTTTTACCTGTACCACTCTGGTAGCCCCATCTCTACTACTGAATATTTTTACAATTTTGCCCATTGGCCACATTACACATTTTTTATTGTCTAGTTCTATGAGGACTACATCCCCCACCTTTAGGTTTTGACATGAAGCACTTGCCTTCTGCACTAGTTGAGCCAGATATTCCTTGCGGAAGCGACTTCTCAGTTCTTGTCTCAACGTATTGCAGTAATTTACACGCACATTCAGCTTCTGGGAATTGATGTAATCCAGATCTGGTACCCCCACTTGTTTTATGTCTTGCAAAAACAGGGAAGGTGTCAGAGGTACGAGCTCTTCCAAATCATCATAGATGTATGTTAAAGGATTGTTGTTTAATGTGGATTCAACATCACACAGGACGGTCGGTAACTCCTTGAAATTCACCGACGATCTCCCTAGAATTCACACGAGAAGAGTCTTGGTGGAACGAACTAAGCACTCCCACCATCCCCCCACCACGCAGCCGTAGGGGGGGGGTGAATTTCCATTTTATTGGAAAACACTCGTTTCCTGTGATTTTTCTCCAATCCAGGCATCTCAGAGCATTGTCTGCTCCGGTAAAATTGGTTCCGTTATCTGAATACATTGTCGCAGGACGGCCTCGTCTGGCAATGAACCGTCTCAGAGCCTGTAGAAACGTTTCGGTACTCAGAGAGGTGACAGGCTCCAGGTGAATTGCCCGGTATAAACGGCGCAGGTGAACAAGACGATCCAAGCTTTACTCTTTGGTCTCAGAAGTAAAGGTCCACAAAGATCGACTCCAGTTGTTTTCAAAGACTGCCGAATCTCTTATTATTCTGATAGGGGTAACTGGATCGGAGGGGTAGATAAATAAAGCCTTAGCGGTAAATCTCCTACATACTATACATCGACTTACGCAAGATCTTATATTACGTTTCGACGAAATGATCCAGTATCGCTCTCTTAACTTAGCAGCTAATATCTGCACTCCCGCATGACTGTTCTTTTCATGATACTCTCTTATGAGGCATTCAGTTAAATAATGCTTGGACGGAAGCAACAGGGGATAAAGGAAGCAGAATTCATCATCACGTTCAATGATTTTAGTTTTGACTCTGAGGACTCCGTCGTTGTCTCTCACTACCACTAATCCATGGACGGAATCTCCTTTCTCTTGAAAGTGCTTCCTTTGCTCTAAACTCCACAAAAATGTTTCGGCGTTAGTTTTTTGTTCTACTGTTAAGGTATCCGAAGAATACGAGGGCTTCTTTAGGAATTTATTAGTAAAGCGTAGAACCCAGCAGAATACTCGAACTATTTTAGAAAAACTCGAAAAACGTTTGTACCACTCAGAATCTTCTAATTTTATACTCAAATTGACAATCACTCTCTTCTTAATTTCTGCTGCAACAGAATTTTCGTCTGGAGTAAACTCAAAGTCTGGCCATTCTTTCGGAGAGCTTTTCAGAAATTCGGGGCCCTCCCACCAATTGCATTGCCGCAAATGTTCAGGCGTACAGCCACGAGATACATCATCTGCCGGATTCAATTTCCCAGGCATATGTCTCCAACATTCCTGCTTCGAGAGTTTCCGAATCTCCTTTACTCTATCATTCACAAGTACTCCCCAGTTTTCCTCTCGTTGTATCCAGCTAAGAGCCACAGTAGTGTCTGTCCAGTAATATATTGGGACATCGACTAAGCACAGTGTTTCAACAGTATACCTTGCCAAGCGTGCACCTAGAACACAGGCTAGCAACTCCAAACGCGGAATAGTTATTTTCTTTAAGGGCAATACCCATGATTTTGCTATGACGAATTTTACGAAAACTTTGTCTTCTTCCTTACTTCGTAAGTAAATGACAGTTGCATAAGCAGCTTGACTGGCATCACAAAAGACGTGTAGAGTCCATGAATCCTTAATTCCATGACCCATGCGACGAGGTAATTTAAGGCTGGAAAGACTAGGCAACCTTTCGTACCATCTCTCAAATCTTGTTTGAAGTTCATCCGGTAATGGCTTATCCCAGGTCGATTTTGTTGCCCAAGCTTCTTGAAGAATTAATTTGGCAGGTAATATGACAGGCACAAAGAAATCTAGCAGATCAAAAACAGCATGGATTAGAGACAATAGTCTCCTTTTTGATAAGTCTCTTTTAACGATTTCTCTTTGGACGGATATTGTAAGGCTGTTGTCTCGTCGGTCCCACTGCAAGCCTAGAACTGCGGAGACTGGATCACTATCTTCAGCTGCTAACTCTTGATCATCATAATGATTAAAAATCCACATTCGAAGATCCATTTTGGCTTCTGCCATAATAGTAATCGACTGGCTCATAAAAACCTTTAGCTCTTCGTTATCATCGACTGACGTGACACAATTGTCAACATAAAATGATTTGGCAAGTTTATTCGCAACAGCTTTGAATTCAGGTGAAACATGGGACAAATTAAATGAAATCACAGCTGCCAATAAATAGGGGCTACTAGTTAACCCAAAAACAACCCTCTTTGTGACGAAACACTTCGAATTCTATTATTTACCCACCACAAAAACTTTAAGTAATTTTGATCCTCACGCTCTACCTCAATCTGTAAAAAGGCCCGCCTAATATCGAATGTTACACCAATTGCCTTTTCCCTAAACAGCATTAGAATGGCTGAGATTTCTTCTACAAGGTTTGGACCTTTTATCAAGCAATCATTTAGCGAAAGCGAACCAACGACTTTGCTCGACTCATCGAATACAGGCCTAATCTTGATAGTGAGGCT